CCTCAGGTGCTTTGAAAGACTGCCATAGTCTTTGATTCACTTTAGTCTCTGATTCGTAGAATTGTATTCCTTTATTTGCCTGTATAATCCATGGGCATACAATTACACCTATGGGATTTCTCCCTCCACCAAGGGTAGAAAACTTTCTGAGGCATCAGAACGATTGCAAGCAGCAACAATCCATGCTGATAGGATAGGTAGCATAAAAAAGAACCCCAAGGGATGCTGTTGAATTGCAGCTGAGAACCACTCTAGCCTTCACTTTGAGGCACTACCACCATTAACATGCCATTGCTTTCCTGCTCTTCTCACCAACATGCAGGGAACTGCTGAAGTAACCATTAGCCAATTTATGGCCCTTCTAGCTGAGAGCATAAACAATACCATTTCAAAGAGACCCTCCTAGAGAAACAAAATTCCTGCTCATTGCAAAAAGGATGACAGTGCTAGTTCCCAATCTACTAACCTTACTTGCAATGCATCTGGGGTTCACTTGTGTGGTCATTGGTGTAAATATGTTTTGGCACAAGAAATATGATCCTGGCTGTGAAGCTGCTGCCTTTCATTCAGTCAGTCCCCAATGGCTGCTGGAAAGTAGACTTAGCACTCTGACAGAAGGTTTTTAACGAGGGCCTTCCTTCAGAGAGCTCATGGTCGAATCCCGATTGCTGAAGGATGCATTGGGGATTGCTGCTGCGAAAGCAAAGGAAAATTGCTCAGGATGGTTGACTTTTACACCATTCCTTCTTCCTTCCAGAGCAGATATTTATTGCCAATGCAATAGAAGCTGAGATATGGCTGCTGGTTTATGTTGCTAGGAGGAAGTGGGATGAAACAGAAGTTTCTTCTATTGAGAAAACAGGATTCTCAGAACAGCAATTAAAAGCTGCTTCAGCTAAATTTCAGGTGCCTGAGCCATGACAATACTGTCTCAAGTCTCTAACAATCTGATAGTATGAGATCAAACAAGTTGTACACCAATCTTGAACCAGCAGGAAATAGTGGCATGGTGGATTTCCTTATTACCATTGTGCACTAATTACGTGCCTCGTATGACAAATGAGAATTATGTAAATTCCACAAATAGATTTCACTGACATATTTGTGGATATTAACCCTGGCCAGTAGTACATTTAGTTCATTTTTCAACTGATTTTTTTTGGTACTGTCATTTGGAATACTAATCTTTATAGCTTGGACAATACTTTAAAGATCAATGATAATCACAGTTTCACAGCTTTGGCTTCTATGAGATTTTGAATTAACTATTGGTTGGAAAAACTAAATTTTTATGCTATCTTTCTGATTCAAATACTTTCATTCTAAAATCCTAAGGAAAAATAGTAATTCTAAATTTTAACATCTATTATTATACAGTCCAATATTTTACATGAGAAAATAAAGCTAATATGATGAAGTTGGGATTCAATCTGCCTGGTCTTTATGATGAAGTATAGAGAGAAACAAACCTTATGCCCAATGATGTCCTAATTACTGCATGGAGAAATTTGCAATATAATTAGTTTGATTTATTTACTTAATTACTGAGTTTTTAAAATGCCACCTCATAACTATTGTGGGATTGTTTAAAAGAAACTGTGAATATAATGAGCGGCATTTGCATGAAATGTAGCAGGAACGGATTACGTTCATTTCAAATCCATTCATAAAAAAGCTATCCATTCATAAAAACATGTTTAAATAAGCGGTCCTGTATTGCAACGGAAGACAAGTTTGTTCTAGGTACTGGCTCTGCAACTCCATTACTATAATGTCCACAATTAAAACCAGATCTTGTGAATTTCACTGGAGCAAGCAGTGGAATAAGAAGGAGCCTGACCTGCCAGGCTCTCTTCCAGTCCAATTTACACTGGAAACTCTTAAGGACTTTATAGGCGGGACATAGAAATGTGCCAGTTAATGGCTATTTCTTTGGAAAATTAGAAGTGTTGAAGTTTCATGGCTCCTTCTGGCAAATTTTGTACATAGGTAGGGAGCGATAACTGTTGAGAACAATGGAAGCTACTGCTAATTGCAGGATTTAACAAGCTATCAAACCTGGAAAATCAATGATTTAGGCATCTGGACTACAACATACATAGATCACACATTAGGTCCCATATGGTGCCCTTCAGCCAATAAATATTGGTCACAAGGCTATGGCTGATTATAAATGTAAGTTGGGCAACTAGAAGACACAAGCTCTTTAAATGAAGACAGCTACAGAAGATAAAGCAATGATTTCCAAATATTCCTGATTTTTAAGACTACTCTTTTCTCTTTTAAAATAAAAGCCTATCTGTGACTTACATTTTAACTACTTTTCCTTTTTGCAACAAAAGTAAATTTACTATCATTTTAAGGAAGAATTAGAAGGCTGCAGTGCTTTTTTTTTTTTAAATCAAGGTTTGAAGCAAGGCATGGATGTCTGCAAGAAGTAGAACATGTGGCAGAATGTATATTGTGATATTCTGATACAAACCACCCCAGTGTTCTGTACTGAAAATCTGGTCCCCTTCAACATTTCGTTTCATATCAAATAGGAAGAAGGAAAAAAGGAAACCATCATGCACATTTAAGCAGAGAAATTGTTTACTGTTTTATACTTTTTCTATGGATACCTGCAGAGTATGTGGAGTTCAGTTTGAGAATTTTGGGGCTAAAGATATCCAACAAGCTGCACCTTGAAGAAAAATAAATTGCTTATCTGAAGAAAAATAAATATCCATATAAAATCAGAAAGCTTGTTTTTAGATGACAAGTTCAAATACTTCTCTAAATATCATTAACACCTGAGTTTTCTAATTTGAGAATACCAGCAAGCAATATTCTAGATCAATCATGGGCAGAACAATTAATTTTGTATTATGTGCTTTCCAAATTACATTGGAAAAGGGATTTGGGGTTGCAAGATTTGACTGGTACTTTTTTTTATCTAACCTACTTGTTTGGATCCTTTGTGGTCACAGCTGTAGGCATCCTAACAATTGGTTCTGTAAGATCTATCCAGATTATTCGCTATGTGCGCCATACTTTGGCTCTTGCCTTAATCTCCAGTAAAATCATTCTGTTGATTATAACCTCATGGAATATGTTTTGTTCTTTGCTGAATCCCAAAAGAACATGCCTTTCATAGAGCATACCAAATGAATGAATAATGACCCACTATTTAAGAGTATCAGCTTTTATATCCATCGGCTTTTAAGTAAGGAAGTCCAAAGCCTACCTCTTGCAAGGGTTTCTTAATATGCTTCTTTATATTTCTCAAGACAATCCTTATCTTGTTGTACTCCTTAAATTTTGTTCATCACAGTTAAGTACAAATCTTATTTCTACACTGAATCTCTGTTCTTCTACCTTTATTCTCTGCTTTGAAATTAATAAATAGTAGACTGCATGCACTAAAGTAACTGATTCCTTTTAAAAGTGCATTCAAAATATATTGATAGGAGAATGGAGGTGGTTCTGTTTCTATTCTTGTGCCTTTCAATGCTACAATTTCAAGGAACCAACTATTTTTCTTTAAATTCAACATGTAAAGGCCAAAAGTAAAAAATAAATGGGCAAATGCTAGGAGATTACTTACAGATTTGATTGAGAATATAACAGCCACAAACAGCCTTAATTTGTCTTGTGTTTCTTCTTTGTGCTAGAACAAAACCATTCAATAACAGTCTCACAATAGTCTTTACTGGGGAGCTCCGTAAATCAGTCCTTCCCCCTTCTACCTTCAGAGTTCCCTTCTTCATATCTGCTCCTTTTCTTGTAAGAGCCAATATCTAAAGTTGGTACTTCAATATTATTCCTGGGAGTAGTAGTTGCACTGATGAAGGAAGTTCCAAAGGCTTGACTTTCACTTTGTTTTGGCAATTCCAGAGTTACCTTTCATATATAGATATAGTATATATATATTTATATTTATATTATTATTCATTTTACATTTTAAATTATTTTATTTTGCTGGTCATTTCCATATTGCTTCATTCAGATTCCAGAACAAAGTTCAGAGTAAAGAGAAAATAAAAAGATAATGAAAAAGAAAATTATAAGTGCAAACTAATTTTCCAGTGATTTCCCGAGTGTGTTTTACCTGTCCTTATTTTTTTCCTTTTCCTTTTTCCTCCTGACCTGCCTGTTATAAAGTGTTTAAAAATCCAGTGTTATTCTTCCTTCTAGTGCTATATAATGCTCTCAGCTCTCTAGTGCTATATAATGCTGATAAAGAAATGGAGGGAGAATTATTACATGTTGCATTCAATGTGTACAAAATATGAACAGGAGGCTCTCTTTATATAAATATTCAATATTCATTTGCACTGTGCCCTCAAAAAGCCCAAGCTAATTTGTGTGTGTCCTGATACAATTTTTGACTTGTAGCCACCTGTAATTTCATGCACCAGAACAAGAATGAATGAGGTCTCTGCCTTGGAAAAGAACTCACACTTGCAAAAGTAAAGAGAGCAACTGGCCATAAGCAAGCTGGATTAGACATCTTGATTAGGGGGCAGAATAAAAAAAGGTTAAAGAAATTGGCCTTTCAATCTCAGTCATTAGGTCATTACCTATGGTATAAAAATTGTCTTTTTCTACCCCCCTTCCCACCTTTTCAAACTGCCTTGCCTTCTGTGGTAATGCTTCGGTGACTCTGGCACATCCTGATGATAGAAACTGTCCAGGGTGACTTTCTTGGCAGCCCCCGAGCTGGATCCCTATAAGAACACCACCTAACAGCAGGCAACCACTTCAAGGACTGGTCCTAGCCTGTATGGCTGGTCTGATCTTTTCTTCCTCTAAAAGAAGTGCTTGGAAAGGAAGAAAAGCCAGACTTTCCCCCACTTTTACTTCTTTCTAAATTCCTGGAATTGTTGACTTTTTTTGCAGACATCAAATGGAGGGAAGGTTTGGCAAGAGAAAGTAAGAAAAGGGGGAAGGAGGAGAAAAGGACGAGGAGGAAGGAGAGGAGGAGAGTGCTGGTATGGTTTCCCCATTTCTCCCTGGGATTACACTACGGTGTTTCGGTGTCTGTATGGTGGAGGGGGAAGCATCATGCCAGGCTTCAGGGAAAACTCTGAGAGGTATTCAGGATTCTCGGCCACAGTGGGCCGGATCCTTCCATTTTGTTTGTAAAAATATTTTGTGCTGTATTCCTGCAGGTAGTCCGGATGCTGTAGGGTACTTCGTGGAGGGAGGCTGTGATTCCAGTAACCTGGGTTATCAAATGCCTTTTTGGGCTTTTCTGGCAACGGAAGCCCATTTTTCTTCAGGTACTCTGCCTTTTCAAAGGTGCTTGCAAAGGTGTTGAGGTACATGGGCTCATTCACATATTCATCCTCGACTTTGGACTGCCCAGTTTGGCTGTTGTGATAATCTGGGTTGTCCAGAGCTTGAAGATCACCATTCTTCCACCGAGAAACAAATGGGTTCTCCTCTACTGGATTCAGGTGATCTTGGAAAAAGGAAAAGAGATGTTAACTGAAATTAAAATAATTTCTACTGCAATGTGTACATTAAGAAAATATAATATTAAAGACTTGGGAAAATTGTTTGTAAATATATATACATATATACTAGAAAAAATGCATACAAAAATGCATAACTGAGTGAAAAGTCAAACAAAACTCCATACACTTAAAACACAAATTTGGAAGCACTCATGGAAATGACTAAAGGAACTTAAGGGTAGGAACTGAGGCTAAAGGTAATGGACAAAACTATTCCATCTATGTCAGCCTGTCCATACTTTAAGATCCCTAATGGAAATATTTCTCTGAGTCCTTTTTCCTTTTGGGGAAAAGCACTTCTCTGATCAAGCATTGCCAGCTATTGTACACCTAACATTTTGGGTATGTGTTTACCTATTACTGGTTTTTCTACAGTGTTGCATTATTGTTATGCTTTTATGCTTTTATGTTTATACTTAGAGTGCTATATCTTCATAACCATAAGGTGCTGTCTTGCTAACATGACTTTCAACTGAGATAAACTCAGTCACATATCATGTAAGTGAAAACAATCTTCTCACTAAGAATAGATGAATACAGAATCAAAGAACTGGGTTGTTACCTCTTGGTCTGCAGAAACATATAATTTGGCTTTAGGAAAATATATTTAAAAAGCTAAGAAGTATTTTAATTATTACATTCTTAATCTGTGAGGTTTTTTAAACTAATTTTCACCCAACCTTACCCATAAGATAGCTTGAAACTGGCACCCAATAGCTGCTAGATTGTAAACTGGCATGTTCATTTTCAAGTGAGTTGAGCTCATTCTACTGACAGTTTTGCACACATGCCTCAACTATATTAAAATCAATGATGCAAAAATGTTTCTTTACATTGCCTTATTAACTCTTAAGGGAACAAAACACTTACATCCAAAATGTTATCTATCTTATTGTGACAAAAGGGATTTTGAAAGATGTACAAGACTGAGAGAAAATAATAACTTAATTGGTTGTATCTTGAATTTCAATGTTGATCATAGAAAAGATCAAAATATCCCTTGCTTTTTAAAAGTTTCCTTGCATTTCAACATTAACATAAACAAACAGACTAAAACAAACACACAAACAGAAGCTATGTAAGGAAGCTAAGTTATTCTTGTAGAATTAAAAAAAGGTGGAGGGGGATTGGAGACCAGAGAGAATGCCATAGTATTTTAACTCTGGTTACTTGAGCTGACTGATTTTTCAGGAAGCAGTGTGTTTCATAAAAGCCCATGGGCTGTTGAATGAGTGATATACATTTTAATTACTTACAGTGCCAAATGTTGAAGCTTAACTAATCAGGATCACCTCTTGTTAGGAAGAGGCAATGAACATAACAGGGAAATTCTATCCATTTTCTTTTCCATATTATATGGTTGAGTACATTAAGGGCAGCAGGAAACTAATGATGCGTTTCCTCTTAGCCCGGTGATCATGCTGTTCAGTTGGACATTGGGAAAAGCAAAAAAAGAAAAGAAAAAGAAACCCTTTTACTTGAAAGTAAGCTCTACTCTGTAGCTAAGTTTGCAATGTAATCGATAAGTCAAGCCTCCTCTCAATGCTACAAATAAAATGCCAAGAGTGTGAGGTCCTATAAACTCTTCCATCGAACTTGAAAAGCCAATGCAAAAAAAACCAAGACTTTGATTCTAGGAGTCTGTTATGCTAGTTGCATGAAGCATGCACATAGATGTGCCTTTCATTTTACAGGTTGAACTGGTTTCACTGAAACAGATAATAATTCAGACAACCCAGTACTATAACAGAAGCATGCAGACGTTAAGTCGCAAAGACAGTGGCCTTTTCCCACTTCCTAAGTCTTCCCAGGTGCACCAAGGGGAATCAGAGCATAGCTATCCTGTGATAGCAGGTGGGCATGCTCTGGGGATAAGTAGCCCCATGAAGAACCTGGTCTGATATCTTGTAAGGCTTTAAAGATTTATGGTTCTTTGGCTATATGCTTACTTGTCTATATGTATATGTATAAATGGATGGATTGGCTCATGAAGCATGTGTGGCCCAAACTTCAACCTGGGAACCTATGGCTCTTTGGATGGAAAAGACGATACTCTCCTGTCTTGCAATGGTCCTTCATCCAAATAAATCTTAGTTCAGCTTGGAGGAAGGCATGGGAGAGATATGAGCACCAGTTGATGTCAGCCATTCTTGCTAGGGTTTATTTTATCTGTATAGAGCTTCAACCAGAATAATCTCTGAGCACTGATACTGGGGATGGGGGGCAGGGAGGAGGAATTATTATCACTATGTGAGAGATATACCTGTTTTGCACTTTTCTGGCATTGGCGTCATGTACCCTTCTTCATCCAGCTCAGTTCTTGGCCCTCGCTCTGGGATAAAAACTGTTGGGTCAGCGCTATACCTCTGAGTGATACTGTCATCTTGTGCAAGACTTGCCACTTGTTTCCGTAAAGTCCCATTGCAGCAAGTGTCATCACAGATCTCAGCAGCTCCTTGCCTGATGGGAGCTTCTGGAGCTATGCCGGGTATGGCAGTTCTGTATGGCAAAGGAATTCCTTGTTCTGTAGACAAACTTCCATCTCTGTAGATAAACTGATTCTATAAGAAACATAAAACATCATGTGAAAAAAACCCCACAGAATTAACATTAGAGCTTAGTTTCATGCATATAAGATGTTCAATCATTTGCTCAATGGGTACCTTTGCTATGAAGTTTTAGTTGTAACTGTTTCAGTCAACATTACACAGTTTTTTTTTAGTTTAATGTTTGACTGCAAGCAGTGGCTAAAGGAACTCAATGAATTCCACATGCATAGGTTTGTATTATTGCTGGATTCAATTTAAATTCCATTGGCTTAAAGTAATTCAAGATGCTTATTTGTGCTTTTCAAATATTACACTTCAAGAATTGAAACTTAGTGCATTTTTCTTGGATTTCAGAATACCATACAAATAATCTGCTAACTCAAATAAAAGGCCAACCCTAATCCATCAATCTATCAGTGTCACATCTAAATTGAACATTAAATGTAAATAAATCAGGATCACATTCTATTCAACATATTTCCAAAATCTCTTGATCTCTATATGGTATTTCTGTGTTGTTGTTTTTAAAAATCCCTAGTATTACAACACATTACCTTCTATGTACACTTCTAGGGTTAGTAAGGAAAGGACACAAAATGTCATAACTCTGGAAATTAACTGGCCTGCAGAAAGATTCCTTCAGTGACCTCTGCAACGGATCCCAAGTTAGTAGTCCTCTGTAAGAGAGGATAGAGGGGAAAGTACTGCTGACAGAAGGCATTCGCAAGCAGGGTACAAGTGTTTTTAGAGCAAAACACTTGTATCCTGCTTGTGAATGCCTTCTGCCAGCAGTACTTTCCCCTCTATCCTCTCTTACATACATACATACATATATACATATACATATACATACACACACACACACACACATATGCATGTATATGTATATATGTGTGTGTGTGTGTGTCTGCACACACACATACACACACACCCACAGACATAGATGTCTATGACTTTTGTTTTTATCCTGAATTACTATAACAATACCGTAGAGTGTATAGAGTTTGTACAATTTTTTATTTGGAAGTTCTAGCGCTTCATATCTCCCTTACTATACAGTTACTTTACTACACAATAAAAACATACTCTAAATATTAGTCATTGAGAATCATTTTACTTCCCATGGAATGATGGGATATTTCATATAATTAGAATAGAATAGAATAGAATAGAATAGAATAGAATAGAATAGAATAACAGAGTTGGAAGGGACCTTGGAGGTCCTCCAGTCCAACCCTCTCCTCAAGCAGGAGACCCTATTACCTTTTCTGACCTAATAGCCAGAATAATATGTGAAAGCATTTTTACACGAGCATTCCAAATTTTGCTTTAAGTAAAACTCTGAGACAAAATCGTTTCCCCCTTTTTGAATTAGTTCATTAGTTTTAACAACAATAACATAATTCTCAAACAGTAGGCTGACTGAATTATGTATTACTACTTAACTATGTATATGGTCTAGAAGAATGTGCAAGAATGGCACAGAAATAGAAGCAATACTGACTCTTGGCCATCAGTCTCCTGGAAGGAGAAAGCCCTTGAGCAGAACTTAACAACAACTATAATAACTACTACTACTACTTCTATTGATTTTACCAATAGTAATAGGAGCCCTTGGAGCAATACCCAAAGGGTTGCCTAAATACATCAAAATTTTGAACTTATCAGGCCTGAATATTTTGACTTTGCAAAAAACCACCTTACTCAGAACTGCCTGTATACTCAGACATTAGCTTGACAGCGCTTAGGTCCTTGGTTAGGACTTAACCAATCCCAGACTGTGAATCGAATTGAAGATTAAATTTGCAACAACAACAATAACAATAGGAGTGAAATTATGCATGCCAGTTCTTGAGCTGATATGTAATTCTACTTATTTCAGAAGCAGGACTAAAGGGTGAGAGGATTTTGAAATCTTTGAAAGACCAGCCAATTTCTCCCATTCCTCCCTGAGAAAGGACGGACTATATGTAACATGACGTTGGAGCTCTTATGACAGCAGGCTGGAAGATATTTAGACAATCACCATGGAGAACAGACCACCTCCTTTCTTTTTGAAGAGGAGATCTGAACTACCCAGTGGATTCTAAGATATCTTCCTTATCCCCATAAGATTATTGTTTAGAGTACAGCATTTAACATCATTATTTAAAACAAATATAATTGAACAAGTATTTCTTTATATTTTCCAGGAATGCGATTTATCAACTTGGTTGTTGTTTTTCATAAAATAAGAGGAAAGGAGAATGTTCTTGAGAAATTAACAATTAGTTCTTCTTGTGGGACTCACTAGAACTTTTTAAAGCTAATCATTTAAAGAAATTACCATAGCTATAATTAATGTCCATTCAATAACCTTATACTGTATTTTCTGTGGATCTGTATCTGTATTGTTTTTGAATCCATACACACATATTAAAATTATTATTTCCTTTCAAGCTTAATTTTTATATTTGCCTTCAAGCTATATGAACTCTTCTGAATTTAAATGTGGCAATTTTTGGTTGTTTATTAGGTTTTGTTTTGTTAGGCTTATCAGATATCACAAAAGCTAATTGTCCCTCCGGTTGTTTTTTCTGATTCCTTTTTTCAGAGAAGGTTTAAACTTATGAAGCACAAAGCTTTTTCAGTATCATTAAACCAACCTAAACTAGAACAGGCACATCCATCCTTGCTTCAAAAAAAATTATGGACCCAAGATAACACTTTGAATCTCTCAAATACTTTTAGAATCAGGATAATCTTACAATGTTTAGCACTCCCTAATTTTATTATATTATTATCAGTTGCAACTTAACAATGTCCAGAGAACCCTGTTCAACAAAACAAAGCAAACATTTATCTTAAGGCAGAAATTAATCTCTAGTAACATCTGATTCTGTCCTAGAATTTTCTGTTAGAGTTAATGAAATTTGTGTTTTTCAGCAGGGCTCAGCAACAAAACATGATTAGTGTTCACCTACCCTTGGACAATGAAAGAATATATGGGATGGTGGAATTCATGAAGAGAGAAGAAGAAGGATACATTTAAAAAGACAAACAAATCCTAAAAGATGAAGGTTGATTATGAAATACTTACTCCTGACATAGGGGTGTAGGCAGGAGGAGGGCTGTGTCCAATTTCACTCTAATAGGAAAGAAAAATGGAATGACCAATATAGTAAGGGGTTACATGGATGAAAGTAAGTCATATGAATTCTGTGAATTGGTGGAAAAACCATGAACAAATTAGAGAGATTTATTCAAACACCAGTCAAATTCACCCCTTCTTGCTCAGCACATCTCCAGAGGCAGTTTTGTGTGAGTTCAAATTATGGAGGATTTGACTGTAGAATAATTAAGGAAAGTCTGAAAAGAGGTGTAGGACTTTTTTTGCAGAAAAGAATGATTAGCATGCAGCAAGTCAGTTGCCCCTCTAAAATGAAGATTCAAATGGGATGATCTACTACTTACTCACCTGGTCTAAAAGGAAGACAAAGGATATACTGCTTAACAATGAAGACAACACAGATATTTCACCTGAATAATTACATAATCACACAATATTCATTCTCTATAATCTGGCTAAAAGACAGCAGATTAAAAAAAAATACCTGTCTCTATGGCAGGTTTTCAATGACTGAAAAATTAACATGCTTGTAGTTCAATAACACAGAAAGATAAGTCTCTATCGCTGAATGCTGCTTCTGTTTCTACGTTTTGGTTCCAGAAATGTTCTAATGTCCTGCATCTATTGCTAGATTTCCTAGCAACAGATGCAGAATGTTTATTTCTCTAATACGCCCTTCCCAATATCAATATAATGAACATGTATGCATCATAATGTACGCATTATATATGAAGACAGACATCATGCATCATCAGTAACATGACCATGTTCTTTATGCATGCTTCTCTGTAAGGAGGGTTTGGAAAGCAGTATGATTCACATAGCCAGAATAGTCCCTTTTGACATTTCCAGTTCTCCTGGCATGGAGTTTTATTTTGCTGCAGACTCTATTTAGAATTGGGATTTAGCTGCAAGAAGATTAAAGAGAACTCTAACATCAATATCTGTCCACACCTACTTAGTCCCAATAAAATGACTATTGGTCTGCCCTCATCATTTAGCAATTTTCATTTTTCTCTCAAGCATATCTCTTTTCCTTGTTACTGATTGCATGTTTTTCCTAGAATGCTACTAATAAATGTGATCATGGTATTTCTGGTGCTTACATATGGATTTACTTATATCATGTAGATTGTAGAAAAGAGGAGGTAGCATTTGAAAGACAAATTGTGCATGAATAAGAAATATGTCACTAAAATGTGAAACTGTATGTCAAATCTACCTTTTCATAATTCTTAATTATGTCAAAGTTGGAGTAGAGAGTCAATAGATGGGCAGGTTTGGCTGTGATGAGACTGATGAAGCTTGTATCTTTAGAAAACTTAAAGGAAAGAAAAACTACAAAAACTATTGGACCGTCTCAATTTATGGTGACTATACATAGATTTTTATTCAAAGTCTTGTTGCAGAGACATTTTGCTGAAAATGTTTGGTCAGGATGAACCCAGTTTGCTCAGCAGCAATAAGCAGTGAAGCATCTCCACTTGGCCTCCAACTTAGCTTTGGATATTCTCTCCCAAACATCTTTCTTCTTAGCTAAGTTCATTTACCAGCACTCTAATCTTCAGGTGTGCATTCATTTTAAAACTGGATAATAATTAATGATGTACAAAAGGCAAAATCTATTATACCCCAACAATCTGTTTATAGATGACTGAGGCAGTTTAATGTTTAAATATACAAAACTGTCATAATCACAACTGGTTTTTCTCTTAGATCATGATATTTCTGGATGGCAATTCACTCTATAATATGATGGTCTCACAGCTTTTCTTCTTGATTATGTATGTATTTGAAAATAAATAAAATTTAACACTTTATAGTATCAGCAATATTGTTGAGGAAGTGCTGCAATTTGATCCATGTATTTTTATGAATTATATTACTAGAATATAGAAAGATA